ATCATCCTCATCAGTCTGTGTATTTAAGCCCTCTGTTTCTACTCGTTCACTGTCGTGTCATTGATGTTATGTTGTCCTTCCCGTGTGTTCCCTCAGTTCAGTCCGCCATTCAGTTGTCCAGCCAGTCAGTGCCCCTTCACCCACTCCTTATAATAAACCTCACCTACCTGCCAGTCCTGCGTTTGGGTTCCTTCTTCCTCGCCTCCATACAACGCCTGACAGACATTATGTTTTGGTTCATCTTGGATCACCAGGTTGCACCTCAGACTGTCCAGGAGCTTAGTGATGCCCCAGTCTAAATCTGGGACCAGATTCTCAATGACAACATACATCATCTCATTAGGAGCATGCCCTTACGTTGGTATTTGGCCTGCATGAAGCACATGGGAGCCACATAAACTATTTAGTACCAGTTTTAGTTGCAGCAATGACATTTTGGTGAAATAAACAAGCCTGCCACAAAACATTTCACTTTAAATTTCAGGGTGTCTTTGAATTCAGCCCTCTGTATGTTGATCATTTCCATTTCCATCAAACAATGTTTCATTCCTAACATATTACCCAGTCCATAACAGTATACTGTAGATATCCAGCATCATTCTTTCCCTATTGAGATCTAATGTGTTTTCCAAGTGTTACTTTTATTGAGCAGTGAGCAGTGTGTACTTCTAACATCAGCATCTGTTTATCTAAAGTTCAGCTTTTGCCATTATATTGTGACCAGTTCTTTTCAGGGAGATGACTTCATGGTCTTTGGTGGGTAAACACATTAGAAAGCAGTTGGATATAGTAAAGAGCATCAGTAGGTTTGAATGACTTTGTTTGTTCAATAGAAAAAGGTTAAAAATCAGAAAGTGGGTTAATCTGACACAATTAAACAGCATTTAGTTTTGTCTTCCTATGAAATGAATTATCTTCAGTTTGATCTACAGACAGAAAGTATCTCTTACTTAGTGTCTGAGGGTCTAGGTTCAGTGTTGAACACTGGAGGCTGAGCTTTGGACCAGTCACTCTTTATAGATAGACAGCTGGATCCTGGATACTCTGCTCTGTAATCCTCTTGATGCAGATCCCTCATTTTCAGTGCATCTGAGAGAACCCGGCAACACTGAAAGACAAAAACTTCACACCTAGAACAGGAAGTAACACACACATACACACTGCAGACAGGAGTCTAGAGTGTAATAAACCAAGCTGACAATTCTCATAAATGAGCAGATCCTTATTTTCTCTTGCAGTCCACGGAGAAACAGCAGACTCCACGTTTATTTTCCTCCACCATGCTCCTGTGTATGTTATGTCACAAGCGTGTGTACCAAATGTGCTACAGGTACAAAGATGTTCAGAATTGAGGCACATCTTTTCATTCAAAAACAATTGTTTATGATTATTCTTACACCATATAAATGCACAATAACAATTACCTTCTTTCCCTCCTTGAGCTCCATTTCTGTAAAATGAAGTTTGAACTCTAAATACTTTCACTATTGAGCAGAAAACCACTTCCTGCAATCTCAATTTTCAGGAAATCACATGCATTACTGTACACGAGAACTGTTTATTACCGAACAAAGCCACGCAGTTACAGCAAGTCTGCCACACAGAAAATGGATGAATATTTTTCTTGGTTTTATGGAAACTCAGAACCTGTAGAGTTACTTGGAGATCCTGTGATACACCACCTAAATGGTTTTCTCACTTATCATTTGGAGATTTTCTTTGATCCCTCACTGACACTGAATCTTTTGTAAAAACAAACAAACAAACAAACAAAAAAAGCAATAATTGAGAAAAATAGGAGTAGAAATGACATACACTATAGGTAAAATGTCAGCTATTCTGGTGGTTAACATGGAATAAGGTCAGTAAAGTGAAAACTGTTGCAGTTTTTAGCGCTACAGTCGTGGATGTTTATGCTGCTAGCAGTGTTGGGAAGGTTACTTTTAAAATGTATTCCATTACAGAATACAGAATACATGCCCTAAAATGTATTCTGTAACGTATTCCGTTACGTTACTCAATGACAGTAACGTATTCTGAATACTTTGGATTACTTAATATATT